TTTTTTGTGAATATGGAGGTGCTTTAGATTTTAGCATTAACTCTGTTTTATGTTGGTTTTAATGAATGTTTGTAAGTCGCTTTTAGTTCTTTTGTGTAAGAAAAGAGACTAATAAGTAATAATAATAATAATAATAATAATAATATGCATAATAATATCATGGCAGCTCGAATAGTAATTGCAACTCAGTGGCAAACAGCCCCAAATCTTACATGGGACACTTGGTACCATTCATATTGGAATACAACTTATAATGGGGAAAAATTATGCATAATCTGATATTTTGACAGGGACTAGAACCTATCTATATGATTTGGCATTCCTTTATTACATATACAGTGGAAACATCATTTCAAGACAACCTTCAGCAGCAGCCTGGCAAATCTGCAAAATAATAATAATAATAATAATAATAATAATAATAATTCTTTATATGAAGGCAACTTTTATCCTTGCTTTCTTCATTGATGGCTTGGACTTTTTCATTCAACCCACATGCAAGTGTACCTTTTTCTCAGGACCGGCCCACCCATCAGGTGGGATAAGGAAACCACCTAAGGTGGCAAAAGGCCAAGAGGCAGCAGCCCCATGGGGGCGCTGCCCACCCCACCACTGGCATCAGCAGCCGCACTGGCTTCTGGAGAAATCTTGCAAGCTCTCAGTGGAAGCTACTGCCGCCACTTTGCAGGCAAGTGGCACACAACCCATTTAAGTGAGGCAACAGCAGGGCAGCTACATTACCCTTTTGCCTCAGGCAATGAAACAGAACACACGTCCTTTACTTATTCCATGTGCTTAGTTTATAGTTTTGTTTTTCATCTTTTAATATCCATCATTATAATTGTTTTTTCTGTTTCATGCACATTATAAAATTAAATTTAAAAAATCATTGCAGCAACAACGATAATTTGACCAATGTCCATCTCATCTCCCTCCAGATATGTCCACACCTCTCCACCTTCCAAGACAAGGAATCGTACCAGAGGGCTCTGAAGGCCTTCCAGTCAGAAATCCCTGTGAGGCTTGGGCCCCTGGCGCAGGGCCTTTACACCACCACTGCCTGCTAAGGATCATCCAGAGGAGAAAACAGAGAATAAAAGCTCCAGCTTCTGCACAGCCTGGGCATCCTACTATAATCTTCCATTGCATGTTTCAGATTTCAGGTCTATGTTTGTATTTGTGAAGTTGATTAAGCTCATAATTGACTAAGCACCTTCTGTCTCTACATTAAACATTTATTCAATTAATTCATTTTTCAGTTCATTCACTGGAAGCATTTTTATTTTTTTTTAAATCTCTGCTGTTGACCCAAAAAATGGTACTGTAGTAGCTTGCATAAGGTCAGGAATGAACAAGGCAGTCTCTGCCCCAAGCCCCTTACAAATCTAATAGCCCAGAGTTCATACTGCAAAAACATTCTGACACTTTTAATGTTTCGGTTTCTTGTTTTTTTCTGTAAGCTGCTTAGAGGTTCTGTTTGCAATCAAGCAGTGTATAATTTCTGTGAAATAAAAGAAGCAGATAACGAAACAACACTATGTCACTCGCAGCTTTTAAAGAAGTGTGCTTAACATGACCATCCCCTCAAAAAAAAATGTTTATTGGTTTTTCAAAAAGGCAGCATGTGAGTAAAATAAACAATACATGAAACAAAAAAAGCATGTATAGTGGAGCACTTAGGCCAGTTGTAGAAATAAAGGTGTAATTCAGTTATGTGTATTACAATAAAGAAGGTTCTGTGGTGGAAGCTGCCTTCAGAGTGCCTCGCACCATAAGAGACGGGGTAAAGTCACATGGAGACCAAGTACCCTCTCCATCACGAAGACAATGATCTGCTTACAGAATTCGCTCCCACCAGAGGCAGTGATGGCCACCAATCTCAACAGCTTTAAAATAGGATTAAACAAATTCATGGAGGAGAAGGCTATCAATGGCTGCTAGCCATGATGGTAACTAACTATGCTCTTCTTCCACAGCTGGAAACCGCAGGGTGGGAGAGGGCTCTTGCTTGCAGGTTTCTGCTTAGCCACTGTGAGAACAGGATGCTGCACTACATGGCCTGATCCAGCAGGCTCTTACAGCTGTATCAATCAAACAAGGGGGATAACGTGAGGATAAGACTGATAAAATGATGCGGCTGTAACACAGTTGATAATGTGTTCTGCCAGGGGGCTATATAATTCACTGTTTTTATTAATAAAACTCACAAGGGGGAATCATGCAAACATCAAAATGGTGTTCCCTAAGCACCCTGCAATGTCTTCAGCTACTGTAACACCCCACACTCTTGCAAGCCAACTATCATGAGAGGGGTTGGATGGAGACTACGACTGCTTTATTTCTGAAGCAGCACCAACAGCAATGAGATCTTAATCTAAAATGGGGTTAGGAACCTCAGACCTGGGGGCCAGAGGCAGCCCCCCCCCCAGCCCCCAGAACTCTCCCTAGGTCATGCCCTAATTTAGTGTTTGGAGTTTATATGTATTAGCGGACACTTTGCTTAGCAATAGATCCATCTGGAGCACACCTTACCCTGACTGCCATCACACTCAGTCACCTGAGTATGAAAGTAAGAAATTTAAGTTTATTGTAGGAAACGCACACTTGATAGAAAAAGATGCCCAGTTCTATCTGGTTAAGCTGCAGTGCTTGCTCTTTCATCTCCACAGGGGAGAGAGGCCTAAGAATGGGGTCTCCTCTCCCAAGGTGGAGAGAGCCAGAGGAGGGCAGGTGTAGGGTGAGGAGGAAGAGAAAGTCAAAAGAAATGGGGTGATGGAAGGTGGAGAGGGTTAAGTCCTCTATAGTTTGGAAGGCGTTTGACAATAGTGTTCTGTTCCTTCTCTGACAGTTCTCTAGATAGGGTGGGAGAGGGATAGAGAAGAGAGAGAAAGGGCTGACAGAAAGAGAAAGAGGTAGCAGTGAGGGAGAAAAGAAAGAGGAGGCAGCGAGAGAGAAAAAACGGGTGGCAGCAGGAAAGGGAGGAAAATGAGAGGGGAGGATGGCCCCTGACAGATTACCACCATGAGAATGTGACGCCCAGACAGAAGAGAGACTCCTCAACCCTGCCCAAAATCAAGATAATGCTTTGATCCTCTCAAAAGGAAGGCTTGTGTGTAGCTTCTAAGAAATGGAATGTTTTCTTAGACATTCAACAGCAGAGCATCGTCAAAGGCATTCTGGTAAAAGGAAACTAGTAAAAGTATAGGCCCAAAACCTAAGTTTGTTAGTCTTTCAGTATCACTAGAGTAGTTGCAATTTATTTAAAAAATAAAGTAAATAACCGCAAAAGGTGATCTCAAAATAAGAGCCTAAGAAGAGCCTTCTGGATCAGGCCAATGGCCCATCTAGTCCAGCATCCTGTTCTCACAGGGGCCAAGCAGATGCCCACAGTAAGAACCCAAGAACAAGAGTACTGTACTCTGCGCCCCTGTGATTCCCAGCAGCTGTTATTTAGAGGATTTGTCCACACTTCTGCATGTCCCATGCTTAGAAAGCATGAGACCAACGGGTTTTCTGCCCCCTCCTATGCTTTCTAGGCATGAGTATGAACAGTTTTTAAAAAAAATATGTCCTGCTGCTATATCCCCAGGAAAACCCACTGCTTCCTGCTGAATTGGAACAAACGTCAATCTACAGGAAAGAAACAATTGATGTTCGTTCCGATTCAGAGGGAAACAGCAGGCTTTTCCGGGGGAAAGCAGCGAGGAAAGCAGCGTGGTCTAGCCCAGAGGCATACAGCCTCCAGAAGTGGATGTAGAACACTAGAAGAGCCTGACTGCTGAGTCAGGCCAATAACCCATTGAGTGCATCCCACAAACAGGACCTAAGTGCAACAAGCAAGCTCCCCACCTGCAACTAGTATTCAGAGCCATTCTGCCTCTGACCATGGAGGTACTAAGTGGCCATCGCAGCGCAGCGAATAGTATCCTCCATGAATTTGCCTAATCCTCTTTTGAAAGGACATCCAAATCGGTGGCAGTCACTCCCTCTTGTGGCAACAAAATTCAATAGCTTAGTAATTCTGGCATGTGACTCGCACATACAATTTTTGAAATGCAGTCTTGATTACCTGTAAGAGGCAAGTTTGCTGAGAACCCCTCTCCAAACTAAAACTCTTCTCTCTTCCCACTACTGCATTTGCTAACAGCTGCCATGGAGGGATTCCCTGCCTGGGCATTTTGTAACGGAGGTTCTCTGTCACTTGGGCTTCCCTTATGCCTTCCCTTGAAACATCCCACTTCCCAGATCGGATAGTCACTGTTCTTGCTTGCCTCCCATCTTTCAAGTCACACACACACACACACACACACACACACACACACACAAATGCCTCCTTGTCCTGTAGTGACACCCACTGGTAACTCCAATGTCATTTCAAACTCCCATCAACCAAGTCCTTTTCTTCCCTTCCTTACATTCTCATCTCTCTTTTTGAAGGTGAATGACTTATATGGAAAAGCTGGCTCTCCTTTCCTTTTAAAAATCTTGTCAAGGGTGCTGAGAGTTGTTAGGAGAACCCCCCCCCCATTCCCCTCCCTGAGCTACAAATCCTGGAATGGTTTAACAATCAATCCCTTTTCACAGGAAACTCTGGGAATTAATGGTGGCTCTGTGTATCATTGCAGGTACTAGAACAGGCCAGGGGCGGAGAGCAGGCAGGGGCGGGGCGGGCCACCTGCGGGGGTGGGGCACCCAGCGCGGGGGGGGCACCTGCCATGGCACCTGCCAGGATGGTGCTGCCGGGGGCGGTGCGCTCCCCCCGCACTCCTCTTCCACCAGTGGAACAGGCATAGGCAAACTCGGCCCTCCAGATGTTTTGGGACTACAACTCCCATCATCCCTAGCTAACAGGACCAGTGGTCAGGGATGATGGGAATTGTAGTCTCAAAACATCTGGAGGGCCAAGTTTGCCTATGCCTGTAAGAACCTGAGAAGAGGCTGCTAGGTCAGGCCAGTATTGCATCTGGTGCAGCATCCTATTATCACAGTGGTTACACACCTGGATATGCCAGGGATTGAACCTGGGACCTTTTGAATGCAAAGCAGATGCTTTACCACTGAGCTACAGCCTCACAGCCCATCTATCTGGATGGGGAGGTGTGTAGAAATTTCTGGTTTTTGTGTGGCTGGAAAATACTCTACTATGAGAGTCACATCCAGTTCCCCACCCACTCTTGCCTCTGGCCCCACCCACCAGTGACCAACAGACCCTGGAAGGCAATGCTGGTCATTTCAAGACTGATGACATCATATTCTGGATGGCTATTTGACTATCCTCCAGATGCCAAAGAAATAAGCTTTTTTCGGTGGGGAAACCCTCAAGAGGACTCTGAGCAGGAGCATGAAGTACATTCGCATGCAAATATCAACAGACGTATAGTGTCCAGATCAAGGGAAGTAATAGTACTGCTCTTTTCTGCCTTGGTCAGATCCCACTTGGAGTCCTGTGTCCAATTCTGGGCACCTCAATTTAAGGATATTGACAAGCAGGAATGTTTGCAGCGGAGGGTGACCAAGATGATCAAGGATCTGAAAACCAAGCCTTATGGGGAACAGTTGAAGGAGAGGGGTCTGTTTTGCCTGGAAAAGAAGAGACTGAGAGGAGATATGATAGCCATTTTCAAATGTCTAAAGGAAGATGGAGCAAGCTTGTTTTCTCCTGCTCTGGAGGATAGAACTCGAACCAATGACTTCACGCTCCAAGAAGGGAGATTCTGACTAAACATTAGGAAGAACTTTCTGACAGTAAGAGCTGTTTGACAGTGGAATGGTCTCTGGAGGTGGTGGACTCTCCTTTCTGGAGGTTTTGAAGCAGAGGTTGGACGGCCAACTGTTATGGATGTTTCAGCTCAGTTTCCTGCATTGCGGGGGGGGGGGGGGTGAACTAGATGACCAGTCCAACACAACATTTCTATGATTCTATACCTGGCTAAGGGTTCAAATGGCTTTTTAATGTCTTTATATATAAATAAATAAATAAATATATAAATAAATAAATGATTCCAGCCAACCAAAAAAGGCCTGAGACTTCTTGGTTAGTGACCCCGCTGGTAAAGAAACATTATCAGTAATCAACAACCCTGTAATGTGCGGTGCTGCTGTTACGACCATACTGCAGGTAAGAAAGGTAAGGCAAGTGCAGAGATGGAGCAAACAGCAATTTCAAAGCTCATTCCTCTGTCCCTTGGTCACTGTGCTACACAAGCTTCTTAAACCAAGATGATGAAAAGGATTGAAGTCACTCCCATATCAGGAAAAGTTAAATCCACCCCACTTGACCAGAATCTGCTTCTCAGAGGTACTTTGCCACTGAATATGGAAGTCTCAGTCAATGATCCCAGGCTAATAGAAATATATAGATCAATCCTCCATTAATATATGTGATTTTTTTTAAAAAAAGCTATCAGCTAGTGGCTGTCTTGTGGGAATGAATTCCATAAGCTGATTATGAATTTGTCTGTTCTGAACCTATTGAAACACAACGTAACATAGTCTACATTTGTAGTCCCTGAAAGCTTACATGCCTTAATAAATGTGTTAATCTTTCAGGAGTCACAAGACATACTGTACATCCCCCCCCCTTTTTTTTTTGCAACCCCTCTGGAAATAACACAATCTGATAATGCTACATTATAATAAAAACATATTCTTTAGCTTTGAAAAACAACACTTCCACCCTCACTCTCTCACACGCAGAAATTGTGAGAGGGAGGTTCTTATTATATATATATTTTAAAAATCAAGCAGCACTTCAGATATGGTGGCACTTTGGCTAATATGCCCCTTGATTCACATCACAGCAGCTGAAGATGGGAACCAAAAATGTTTTGTTTTTAGGATATTGTGCTGGCCTGTTATAACAGTCATTGCAATGTTAGTCCCTGTTATGTTAGTCACTATAATAAATATACGTTTTCTGGTCATTAATTGCTTCCTTCCAAGATCTAGAACAAACTTGTCAGAAGTGCCGTTTAATGCTTCAGAAATTAGATAGAGAGACAAATAGAGAGGAGAGATTTAAATGATGGTTTTTGGTGGTGGATAATATACCATAGTCCTTATTAGTTATTATAATATATTTATTTATTTATACCCTGCCTTTTCCTCTTATGATACTCAGTGCTGCCTATAGATGCAAGAACTGCCAAAAACAAAGAATTATTTTTAAAAACAAAACAAAACAAAAAAAACCCTCATTCCCACAAGAGGCAGTGATGACCACCAACTTGGATGGCTTTAAAAAATAGGATTGGACGAATTCATTGAAGGTAAGGCTTTCAATGGCTGCTAGCTACCCTGATGGCTATGCTCTGCCTTTACTGCTGGAGGCAGTAAATGCTTCAGTGTTCTTGTGCTCAGATCCTGCTTACCAAGCTTTACATTAGGACAGTGATGGCCAAACTTGACCCTCCAGCTGTTTTGGGACTACAGTTCCCATCATCCCTGACCATTAGTCCTGTTAGCTAGGGGTGATGGGAGTTGTAGTCCCAAAACAGCTGGAGGGCCAAGTTTGGCCATCACTGTATTAGGGCATCTGCTTGACCACTGTGAAAACAGAATGTTGGGCAAGGTGGGCAACTGGCCTCATCCAGCAGGGCATTTCTTACGTTCTTAGATAACACTGAACTAGCTGCACCAGTGGTCTGACTTGTAATAAGGCACCTTCCTAAATTCCTATGGACGGTGCCTTGGGTGCATTTGTGAATACAGTCCAATCCCTCCCAAAACCCAGGGGTCTTCAAAACTCTCTACTTGCAGGGAAAGTGACTGTGTAAGGTTGTCCCTGAACTTTCCCACCTCTGGGAGAACTGGAGGCTACAAAAACAATGACTTGAATTATGATGAGCATTCTTAGATCAGATCTTTAACAGTGATTTAAAATCTGACCATGCCATTCTATACAGAAGTCAGTCCCAATAAGTGTCAGGGAAGTGGCTCTCGGGTTGCAGCCTAAAAGTTTTTAAGACCCAGACAGACACTGGAGTGGGACACTGAGAACTAGCGCCATGAGTAGTTTGCTCAGTCCCAAGCAGCTTCCCTTCCCTTCCCTCCTTCACTTCCTTTTTCTTTCTTCCCTCACTTCTTTGCTCTTCCTCCTCTTCCTCCTCCCGCCTCCTCCCTCCCATCTGTTCCCCCGTTTTCTTTCTTCTCCTCTCCCCTACTTTTCAACTTCTGCTTCTTTTGTTGTTTCTCCTCTTCATACAAGAACGTAAGGAAGTTGCCTTCTATCGCGTCAGACCATTCCTCTATCTAACTCGGTGCTGTCTACACTGACTGGCAACGGTCAGACCAGGGGACAAGCTGGGACCTTCTGCATAGAAAGCAGGTGCTCTACCACTGAGCTATGGCCCTCCCCACTTTAAGAAGCAAGCATCTTCCTTTGGAATAACAACACCCGAAGCAGCTCTCGGTCTGTTGGGATCCTGGCGCTGTCCACCCCAGGCAAGTAGAACTTCTTTTCGAGAAGTCCTTGACTTGGTCGTTCCCAGTTAAAAAGAAAAATATTTCCACCAGGAGTGCAGAGCTTTAGCCTAGCTGGCCTCCTGTCTAGCCTAGAAAAAGGAGGGGGCGCCTTCTCATTCATGCCCGGACTGGAAGAAATCTACAATCACTAACATGACTCCTCCACACATCGGAGAAGTCTTGGCACTGGACCAAATGTCGTGATATATTTTCATTTACTATACATTTGAGATTTGTGTTTGCAGGACTCACACCCTACACCTGTGATTGTAATCTGTTTTGATTGTTTTTAATTTTTCGATTTTAAATGGTTGTAACCACTCCTGGAACCTGCTGAAGGGCAAGTAATAAATGTAATAATGATGATAATATTGATAATGATAAACTTGTAATATACACTTATTTAATAGCCAGTCTATAAGGATTCACAAAAAGATAACTCTCTACCCACCCCCACAATAGAATCTCATTCTGCTAATTACCCAGTATGTATATTAGTACTATAATACCACATATACCGTATGCTTGTTACTCAGAAGTAAGACCCACTAAGAGGAATATGATGATTACTTACAAAAGTAAGTAAAAAGAGGTAGTTTATGAAACGCTAACAACTTATTACCCTGTTTAAAGCCATTTAGAGACTTGTTTGAGTACTGAGCGGTATATAAGAATAGGCAGGGGGGAGCGTGAGGTGCAGGAACGGACGGTCACTAACTGGAAGAGTTTGGCAATTCAGTTGGACTCTGAGGTTGCAATCCTAAATATACCCACGTACTCCGGGAGTAAGCCCCATTGAATGCAATGGGACTTACTTCTAATTAGCTGCGCCTAGAATTGCAAACTCTTGCGGTCGGAAAAGTTCCTTAACCTGAACTGCCACTTGGGGAGACCGCGTTGTGCTGCCTAATGACATTTGGGGTGGAAGAGTATTTCCAAAAAATCAAAAATTATTTACTTTATAATTTTTTTTTTTAAAAAACCACTTCACGTATAAGTCCGAAGGACTGAAATAGGCTAAATCAACGGAAAATATTTGCTTTTATTTGGTGAGTATAAGGGAATTTATAAAAATTCTTTATAAATGCAAATATGTTGTTGTTGTTAGCGCAAGTGCCTTGAACACGTTTGCGTCCCGAGCTGGCTGGGGAACCTCTTGCTCACGTTCCCTTTTTTCTTTGGGGAGAACAAAAATTGATATGGATTACACTTTTATTTCCTTACGAAACTGACAGTCCAGGCCACAACTTAACTTGCTTTTCTTGAAGAGGAAAGTCCCTAAGAAACGGGTCTCATTTATGGGACAACAGCGGAGCCAGGCATCAGAAGTGCGGGATTATAAATAGGAACATAGGAAGAAGCTGGCCGAGTGCCACAATTGGTCCATCTAGCTAGTATTCCGAGCAGGATCCCTCCCAGCCCTACCTAGAGACGGCTCTAAGGATTAGAACCTTCCGTCTCCAAGGCAGTGCTCTGCCACTGAGCTACGGTGGTTTCTGCTCAGATCCTGTTCCTCGAGCTGAGTCTCATCCTGCCCTCCCAAGCGGCTCATGTGATCCACTTTCAACCAGCAATGATACAGGAGAGAGAGAGAGAGAGAGAGAGAGAGAGAGAGAGAGTGTAAGTAAGAGCGGGGTGGGGACGACGACGATTAAATGCAGCCATCAAGAAAAGCTTAGGTTACAGCTTTGAAATTTATTAAAACCTTGTCAGTTTCAAAGGCGTGGCTTTGTGGATTTTACTGCGTTGTGGATCAAGGGGGAGCTGAAAAGCGTAGGTCGTGATTCAGCTGGGAGGGCAGATCCAGAATGTAGGAACGCACACACACACACACACACACACACACACACACACCCCTCCACAAGACAAGGAAGGATCAACACACACCCGCGTGCTTTTTCCTATTGTGTTAAGGGGTTATGGATGGAGGGTCTGTCTGCAGGAACAAAAAAGTCTGAGCAGAAACTTCCAACAGCCCGTCAGTTGGTGCCGGGCTCCCCCCCTTCCTCCCCTCCTTCTCCTCCCCGTGCACTCCGACAGCTTGCAACCGTCCTAGGGCCCCCCCTCTAGGGAAAGAGTTCAACTCCCGCCGAGAGAGCGCCTCCCCGGCCGCTCCAGCGGCCGCTCGCAAGCTGCTGAGTCGAAAGGGACCGTCTCGGAGAGGTGGAGAGTCCAGAGGAAAAGAGGGAGAAAGAAGGAGAAGATAAATTGAGAGGAGAGGAAGAAAGGAAATGTTTTTTTTTAAAAAAAGATAAATTGAGAATTGGGCGGTGGGGGGTGGGGACCGAAATAAAATAACAGCCTGGGGTGAATGCCAAATAGAAATATCATAGCACAGGATCGGGTCCAGGGCTGTAGTTCTAAGCACTTGTTAGTACGTCTCAGCGAGGCCTTGCAGCGCAATCCTAACCACGTATACTCAAAAGTAAGTCTGACTGAATGCAATGGGTCTTACTCTCAGGTAAGTGGGGTTAGGATTGCTGACTTTAAAAAAAATAAACTCCCTAAGTTCTAGTGGGGAGCATGGCCCTTGGGATCAATGGAGCTTACTTCCTTGTGAACACTATTAAGAACCAGGAAGGTTTAGGGTTCAATGATATTCTGCACGTCAACTCAGGAGGCTTTAACGCCGCCATGATCCCATTGAATTTAGCGAGACTTACTCCTTGGGAAAACATTGCTCGGATTGACCTGTGGGCAGGAAACATCAACACAAATCACCCTTTTTATGTAGAGAGGGAGACTGCTTTAGGACTCATTCCTTCTGGAATCTGGTCAGTTTCAGGGGGGTTGGTGTTCATTTCGATGTGTGTTTTACAACCCTAGAGACATAAAAGCTCTACCGTGGATTATTATTGTTTGTTAGTTTGTTTGTTTATTTGTTCGTTTTAACAATCCAGGTCCTCCCAAAAATATGCCCTTTTCCTCTCATGCCTTTACTGTTCTTTCCCATCCCCTTTAAAAATGCGTTGGAATCTCTATGCGTGTGAAGTTTCCTGGGAGAATCCGGTAGGTCTTTTATCAGGCCAGAGAAGGCCGATCTGATGTCTCTTTCCTGAGAGGATATTATTCGGGGGCGGACACGGGGGTGGGGAGATCACACTAAATCATGCAAAGGCTCTTTTGGACTTTAATGTAGCCATATTTTTCGTTGACTTCAAGCTGCCTTCCAGAGAGGTTGAGCGACGTGGCGGCGTCTCTGGTGCGCCTTCTGAAGTGGAGTTGAGAGGAAAGCGCCCCGGAACGTAGTTGGTTCCAAGGCTGTAAAAAAGGGGGTGGCGGTAGTTAAGGTTGGTGGTGTGTAACCGCTATCTCAAAACGTGGAAGAAAGCGATGATCTGAATGGAAGTGGTCCTCCTCCAATCTTAAATTCAGTTTAAGACATGTAAAAAGTACAGTAAAAGACCCCACAGATCTTTTTATTTTCTGTCGACGCAACTGGATCTTTCCTAGTCCCTTAGTAAAGCCTTCTTGGTTTCAAATGAACGGGCATCTCGTTAAGAATCCTGAACTGAGAATTCACCACCAGAGTGTCAATAACTTCAAGAAACTAGGTTGGAAATTTTCCCGATTATTTTTTAAAAAAACAAGTTCCCTTGACATTCTTGGGACTTTTTATCTTTTCCAAACCGACCGTGTGTTTGTTATTGGTGTGTGATTGATGCCACTCTGGATTCAACAGAACATCTGTGCAAATGAAATGTGTGGATACAAAAATAAATAACTAAATAAATACATTTACTTGTCGGAGAATGCTTCGCTCCTAAGTTCAAATTTAGGATCAAAATCATGGATTTTTTCCTCAAGTATTATTACCACCGTATGAACCAGCCACTGCCAATAAACACAGCCAAATCGTATGCATTTACTTGGAAACAAGACTCACTGAGTCCAGTGGGATTTACTCCCAGGTAGTTATACGCGTAGCTTTAATTCTTACACAAACCACGAAGCATCTACCATCCGTCTACAAAACACCAGCTAAGGCTGGAATCCAAGGCGACTTAGTTGGGGCCAACCCCAGTCCGGGGGATTTTCTTTCGAGTAACAATACATAGACCTGCGAAATTCAACGCTCGCTCGCTCTTTTAAGAATACAATAATCAATAGGATTCTTCTTAATCTTTCCAATTTAGGCCAGATAGAGTGTCGCCGATTATAGAAAATGTTTTGCTGAGGAAAAGGTAAGGGCGCCAAATGGAATTTTTTTTTGCCGGGGGGGCGGGAATTGTTAGAACAATTTCAAAGAGCTTAAGTTTGTTTTTTAAAAAAATTAAAAAATCGCTTGCCTGGCTTTTGCTGAGTACCTATATAATTATCCTTTTTCTGTGAAAACGCGCACACGGTAATATTTTTTTTAAAAAAAAAACTTTCATCAGCACGCATAAAGGGAGACAATGATTCAGCTAATTGTGAACCTAAAATAAGCAGTTTTAAAAATGCACCCAACTTCACACACACACACTAGATCTCCCCCACACGCACACACACCGCATTGCTAATAACCCTATTTAGAACTTCATCAGTGGCGTAATGATAGGAAACAGGGTGGAAATTGCCGGTTAACAGTTGGATCTGGGCTGTAATTAATTCAGTGTCTCTTTTAATCAAACCGAGGAGCGATCAAGTTTCCTTGCTGTGTGGCATGTGTGTGACATCACCCTAAAAGCTGGCCAGCCAATCAGGAGAGAGGCAGTGAGGCACGTGAACTTGGGTTCTTGGTTTAAAAAAAAAAAGTAGAGGAGGAGGAAGAAGGAGAAGAAGAATTCCAAACTAAACCCAGCAAGTTGAGAGGTGTGAGCGCTGATTAAAAAGGGAAGCACTTTCCGCGGGGCGGAGCTGAGCTGTCCTTGGTCCTGAAAGCAACGCGGCGTTCCTACTTCGCCTCCAACATCAGGGACTTTTGCAGGCAAGGCGGCTTCGGAAGGCGACCATGGGAGGCGGTGGCGCGGCCGCGGTCCCGACCCTCCGGTCTAGGCGCTTTCAAAGGTGCTGAAACGTCCTTCCAACCTGCTGTTTTTAGCGCGTTCGCCTTCTTGAGCAGAGACGGACCTCGAACAGAAATCGCCTGCGCTGTCCGCGGTCCTGAAACCTCCCTTTCCATAGGCGCTGGTACGAAAAGGAGAGCTCGCTCTTCGTTCTGTAATCCGTGCCTCTCGCTTGCCTCATTCACTGCTCTTTAAAAAAAGAAAATCTTGTTATGGACTCTTTAAAAGTTCATTGTTTAGTTAAGTCATTTCCTGTAATTTAGGGCTGATGGATCTATGGTTAGCGGTGGCGATTGCGAATAGTTCAGATTAGGGATCTTTCTCCCTACAAGCAAAGTTTCACTTTCGCCACCCCTACTCTGGCTCCTGTCTTCCCTTCCCCTCTTTCTCTCCCTTGTCTCCTTCCCCTCATCTCTGCAGCTAGCTTGACTGCAGGTTTTCAAGAGGGACAGCGCCTTGGATCGTAATACTGACCGGCGATTGTTGCTGCACTAACTTTGGATCCGAAGTCCCGCAGTTGCAAGGTCGCTTTGCTTCTTCTCGAGCCTAATCCGGACTCCGGCTGGTCAATGTCACCCTGAAAGGCATGGAAGGTGCCAACGGATTTGGGATCGATTCCATCCTGTCCCACCGAGCCGGGAGCCCCGCCGTGCCCAAAGGGGAACCGCTCATGGGGGAAGGACGCTCCCCCTTGGAACTTAGTCCCCGCTCCGAAATCAGCAGCGGCTGCCCGTCGCCCCACTCTCCCGGAAGGGAGTGCTTGGAAGCAGTAGCCCAGAGACAAGGCGTGGCAGTGGGGCTGGAGTCTCACCTCCAAGCGGGGCAAATCTTGGCCCCTTCACAATCCAGAACAGTGACCTCCTCCTTCTTAATCAGGGACATCTTGGCCGATTGCAAGCCTTTGGCAGCCTGCGCCCCTTACTCCAGCAGCAATGGACAGAGCGCACAGGAGGCACCGGTTCGGATTCCCCCCAAATCCGGAGAGGACTTCCGGGAGAAGATGGACAAGAACAACAGCAGCAACTCCTCTTCGGACACAGAATACAAAGGTAAGGAGAGTTTCTCCTAACTCTATACCAGCGCCTGCTGATTTCTGAATGAGCCCTCTATTTCTGAACCAGTAACAGTCGCGCACACATACAATAGAGTTTTCCTTCCCGTTGGGGTATCTCCTAAGAACCAAAGCTGGTCGATCTAGCTCACCAGTGGCTTCCGGACAGCAAACCCGCGTGTTGCTAGTCCTCGCGATCTGGTATTCAGAGGTGCATGTGGACATGCAAGTTCTTCTTACCCCCCCCCCCCCTTTCTCTCTCGGAAGGTTCGAGGATGAAGGACAGGATAACATTCGGTTGGCCTGATTTGGGATATTTCCTCTTTTTCTGTTTGTTTGTTTGTTTGTTTGTTTGTTTGTTTCTGTCGTCAGTTCAATCTGTAAAGCTCCGAATTCTGCTAAAAATATTATATTTGGAGGGAAGGAAGCTAATATGAGAAACTGGCGGAGATAAATAGGAAACTTCTTTATTTGCGCATTTAACTCCGCATAACCCAACCACTTGCCTGTTTCGATTGTTATTTCCATCTATTTTGCGCCAGCGATCCTCCTCCATGTCTCCTCAGAAGCAAAACCCATTGAGCTCAATCGGATATACTTTCAGGAAAGTGGGTATAAGGGTTGCAGCCCGAGTGTTTCTATAGTCACCAGGATATTCTGGTCTCCATTCTGATTTAAAGTTGAGTCTACTCTGGAGAAAAGGCATTCTGACCCCACCCGATATACACTGGATTTACTGAAATGAGATGGACGGGGTACCAATATTATCAAATTCGTTAGGTTGCGACACGAATGATTTTTGACACACGGATCAATACAAGTTGTCAGGCAGATAAGAAAGAAGGCCAAACTTCAGTACAGAAGCTTCGCCCCTTCGCCTCTATCTGATTTCCTATCATTCGTAATCATCCCTTGAATGATCGGTGGTTCCCCTTGAGTCTGCCCCCCCCCCCCAGAAAACTTTTCGATGAGACCTCGTAATAACGCAGCGGCGACCTTCAAGCTCCTCGTTCACTGGGCCGAGGAGGCTTTGAATGGCGCCAGTCCCGTTAAGCAAATGACAACTTTTGAAAAAAATCTGCTATGGGAAATAGCTCGAAATTAAATACATTGGTGTTTGCAGAGACGTCGAAAGCAAAAGCAGGTCTTCAGTTTAACAATTGGTGGGGGTGCTCGCCAGAGAGTGACTTTCCTTCTGATAAGAATTGTTTTGTTTTTACTTTCTTTGACAAATACGTTTTTCAAACCGCAAAAGCCACCCGGTCCAGGTCATTTCCTCCCGCCATTTGCCCCACCTCGCCATGAGAAGTAACATCCTCAAGAGATTTAATGCCTCGTTCCTCTTCAGGTTTACTTGGAAGCAAACCCCTCATGACGTCAATGAGTTCAATTTCCACTCCGTAAGACTTTAGTTCCGCGTGGTTACTCGCGTGTAAGTCCAACTGAAATCCAGGGCGGTGGAGAATAATTTACCAGTGAAACAGCCGTAAGATTGGACTGAATTGGAGTTTAATGACAGCACAAACCTAACTACGCCAACTCAGAAGTAAGATCCTATTGAGTTGTGCGGGCGGGGGGGGGGGGCTTACTCTCAAGCATTGAGGTTAGGCTTGTCGCCTTAGACAGAAGTCACTGAAAGCAGGAAGAAAGCGTGTTCCGAGATATAGATATATATATACAGAAATGCCGGATAAGAACCGAAACAAACATAGTTGCGTGGAACGGAAAAAGGCGCAGTTTTATTCTGGAGCAAATCTCACTGAAATCTAGGAGGCTTGATGCAGAGTAAACAACGCGGCCCAGGATGAGAGTTCCAAACAGAAGCTCTTTTTTTCTCCAGGCCAGAATAGGATCTGCAACGAGGTAGACGTCTGCAGTTCCTGGTGGGTTTATATTTCCTTTGGAAGGAGAAACTGACAGAATGGCAAAGCGGCCCAGGTAAAGATCAGGTCGTTGGATCGAGGGAGGCCATCCCTTTCGATAGCGCTTTTCCTGTAGCTCTGAATAGCGCGATTACTCCTGTGTTGCAAGTTAAGACCTACTTTGTTCAGTGGGGCTGGCTCCCAAGCATGGCTGCGATCCAGATAGACCTTTACCCTATTGAACTCAAGCGGACTCACTTCTGCGCGGACGCGGTTAAAACTTCCGACTTGCAGCCCCATCCGAAGATGGTTTACTCGGAAGCAACTCCCGCACGCGAGGTTCAGTGCGTGGCTTCCTTGGTCGCAAACATGCTCAGTAAATGCAGGTTTAATTTAAATAAAATAAAACCAATAACAATTTTTAAAAAAATATAAAAAGTAAAATTCCATCTTCGGCCTGTTTATACAAAAGGCCCGGATCTTGGCCACGCGCTCCTCCTCCTTTTCCAATTTTGTGGGCGCATCCAGAATTAACAGCTGGGCCTGTAGAAAAAGGCAGGTGGTATTCTGGACCCAGGCAGGGTCCCCCACTGGGGAATTCCTGCCCTTAAGTCCAGGTCTTTTCTGTTTCCAACCCCCCCCCATCCCACCCCCATTAACTAATTAAAATTTCAGTTGCTAAGAAAGAGAGACGGAAATTCTTTTTAAAACCTTATTCGTTCCCCCCCCCGCCCCAAACGAAAATTGTGTTGGATTTCAGCCGCAAACGTATACCCCCCCAAAAAAGCATTTTACATTACCATTCAACTTTTCTTTTTTTTTTTTTTTTTGGCTGTTTACTTGCTGTTTTTAAAGGCCGAGTTGCTACAGTGAGAGCCACATCAAGGATATATTTAGAAGCGTGGAACTCTAACATCAAGAGATGTCTCCTTCTTCACATTTATTTTATTTCTCCTTTTCTTCCTTTTCTCTTCCCCCCTTTCCTCCACTTTTCTCTCCTTCTTTTGCCTCCTTCCTTTAGCTCTGTCATTTCCCCTTTCTTTTTTTCCCTTCTTTCCCCCTTTCTTCTCTCTCTCTCTCTCATTCCCTCCTTTTCCTCTCCCTCTTCCTCAGAGGAACTTCCCTGAACCTCAAACCCCTCTCTCCACTTTCTCAGTCTCTCCCTTCTTCTCCCCTCTTCCCACCTCATCAAAACTCCAGAATCAGGTTCTCTGCCAACAGCATCACCCTTAAAAACATAGGTTCTTCCTCCTAAGCTCACAGTTCTTTGCACTGACTGGCAGCGCCTCTCCAGGGTTTCAGACACGAGATAATTCGCAGCCCTCCATGGAGAGATGCCAGGAATTGAGCGAGGCGGGTGCTTAACCGCTGAGCGACGGCCCTACCCTTAACGCCCCCACCTTCCCCTCAGGTACACAGCGCCAACTTTCTCTCTGTCCTAGCCCCCTAGTCTAAGCTGAACATCAAAGCCTAAAGAGGGGTCTATTTTGAGAGAGAGAGGGAATGATTTCTTATTTAGCTTTTCAAATATCAAATTCATTTATTTGCCGCCCGCCCCGCCCCCCCCGCAAAGTAAACATTATGTAGAGGTCAGTGCCACTGATTCCAGGACACCCCCTTTATTTCTTATAAAGAGAGGAGGGGTGAGGAGAAGAAACAGACTTGTTTGCGCCTTCCATCCATCAATGAACGAGCATCTCATGTTTAAGAGATATTCATGCCTATCTGGACTCGGTTTCTGGTTGAAGGGTTTCCCATATCCCTGGTGGCTCAATTAAGTGGATTATTGTCTTCCTACAGAGAGAAATCAACGCGCGTGGAGGCTGAGCTTTGTCGCTCCTAAACCCTGCCACAATGAAATTTACCATAAACCCCTGTAAAAAAGCTAATGCGGCCAATTTATATAAACCGGAGCCAGCTTCCCCCCACCCTATAGATAAACATAATCTCTTTAAGAACAGAGATAAAGGGGGTGGGCGAGAGAAAGGGGGGAGGAACTGCAGGCCGTAGCCATTTCTTTCGGAGCTTTCACCCTTTATTTTTGCTTTCCATCAATCCGAAATGCCCTTTTTATCGGAAGGGATATGTCTTGCACCATGGGTGGGGAGGAATCGGTTTCAATCCAGATTGAACAGGAGTGACTCCCGTGCGATCTGGGAAAAAAGTAAATCTGTGTTCAAGGGAAGGAAGGAGAGGGGAGCGCTAATGATTTCTGGCAATATCTAGTACCCCCTTCCAATGGCTCAGTGTGAAACCACTTTAAATTCGCTGTTGTTTAACGTAGAAAGAAAGGGATAATGGGGGGGTATCAGAGCTGAGGGGAGAAGGCAGAAGTTTGACCTCCCTTGCTACTTTTATTTGACAACTGCCCTTATTGGGTTCAGTTGCCCGTTCAAACACCAGGCTCCCTGCCTACTCCGAATATATACAAAATGTATTGTGAATCAATCAGAGACATGGGCTGCCCTCCAATTGTGACCTAGCTCTACCGAAAGCCTTCTTTTCGGACAACCCAGAAAGTTGAGGCAGTTTGCTTTTCCTTTATGTGCCTTGAGAGAGGGAGGGGGGTTGCTGTTTGGGGGTGGGGGGAAGGGGAAAGTCTGCACCTCTCAATATATATAAAATATCTGGAGAGAGAAAGGGGGGAAGGGAGTCGTTTGTTCTTTTTCCTTGGATAGATAAGCGATCCTTTGTTTTTGTTTTGTTTTGGGATGGAAAGCCTCAGGAACGCCTACTTTGGGGTGGTCTTTAGCGGGCTGCTGTGGGTTCGAATCCTCAGTCAGGCCTCTGTGGTAGGACTTGAGTCAAGCCTACTTCGCAGGATGATGTGAGGATAAGTTGGATACCACACGCAACTCTTCGGAGCGAGGGCGGGCTTCAAATGTGGTGATGACGGCGGCAATAATACATGGATTAATGCCAGTTTTATCCCAAAACTAACAACAACAACAACTGTAATACCATTTCTTTTGGAAGTTTCTCTAGGAATTTGAGGAAGCTGATCAGCCCCGATTTCTTTCAGAGTTAATCCCTGAAGCAACAAAATATGGGTGCTGTCGTAATTCTCAACATTTAAAATCGCGATCCGACATCAATTACCTGGGAGTCAGCTCCATTGAACTCAGTGGGTTTACTTCTGAGTAGCCCTAGGTAGGGTGGCATAGCTTACTGTTCAGTGTTGGAAACTTTATTGTCAGCGGAGGTGAGAAAGTCTTGGGGGGGGGGGCGGAACCCAGTCAATAAAACCATGGAGGAAAATAAGGATTTTGTGGGGGAAATGGGGAAATTTGAATTTTAAGAAAAGTCAGAGACCCAAGCACACTGATAGAGGTATAAATCCCTTAGAACTCGCTGGGACATTTCTGAGTAGATCCAAGCAACTAAAATGACGCACGTTTAGGCTGTAGCCCTCCACCCATTTACCTGAGAGGAACCCTCGTGGAATTCAGTGAGGGTTACTTTTTCTGACAAGGCATTTTAGGGTTGCAGTAAATATTGGGGAGGGGGTTTAGGCTGCGTCCTATCCTGGCGTTTACTTCGATATAAGCTTGACAGATCTCGGTGGGATTTGCTCCCAAATAAACGTGCACAGAATCGGGGCCGTACAGCACGTGCTTCGCTCTGGTTTGAAATCAGTGGGAGGCGGGCAGTGTGTTCACCGGGAAGAAAGCACCATTGACTTCACTGAGACTTACTCCCAGGTAGAGGTGCATAACCTGGCTGGCGCCCTTGAAAGTGCTCAGTTTTGTCCGCATTGCATCTTCAGAAGGACAACGCGGGTACCCTCAAACCAAGATTAAAATGTCAATTTTAAAATTCAATTCAATTTGACCTGTTTGGTTTATTCCTCTGCTTTTAACCCCGCAAAAGGAAGAATTTTTGCCTCAGATACCGAAATTTCTCTGGGTTGTATGCAAAGGTAGTGCTACTCAAAGTTGATCTATTGAAAATAATTAGTTTAAATGGGTCTACTCTGAGTAGAATTTCGCTGGCTGAAACCCAAAGGCTTTGTTGAATCTGTATGGATTTAGGGTGGTGTGTTACTTACTTTAGCATTCATTAATTCAGATTATCAGTAATTCCAGTTGCAAAAACCTCGGATTTATTTCCATTATAGAGAACAAAATCAGAGCTGTCTCCAATTAGTTTTTACTCTGAGTAGCCTCGCCGAAATCAATGGATCTAGTCACGCTCATTAATTTCAGTGGGTCCGGCCTGTGTACTGTAATGGGTAACGTTGGCT